ATACGAACATTCATACCAAGTTTCGTCAAAATCTGTCAAGAATTGTGCCTTCTAGAGTGTTTACGAGCTAAAAATTGAATGGTTTGCAGAACAAGGGCAATAATTCATACTAAATATTTTTCCTATAGTAGCCTACTTATCCAGCAACTCAATTCAATCTTCCAAGAAACCAAACCTTTCCCCTATGACCCATGTTTAATTTCATTTTTGTATCAGCACAATTGGTGAAAATGAAATGATTAAGCAAACCTTTTCTCTTGAATGACATTTATAAAATGAAATCAGATAAACTGCTGCATCTTGGGATGTCACATGACTAAGCTATGATTGGATATCTGTCTTGGATTTTCCACTTGGTCTATCTATAGTATCTTATGATGCTGTACATGTATGGTGGCTGGTTAGGGACATGTTAAATGATTAAATTAAATTTTCTTATTTGTTAACCAAAATAGTTTCTCAGGAAAATAATGACATCTATTGTAAATTGTGATTATGAACAAAAAAATTGTGACTTGTAGAGTCTGTCAAGAATTGTGCCTGCTAGAGTGTTTATGAGCTAAAAATTGAACGCGTTTTCAAGAACAAGGGCAATAATTCATACTACATATTTTTCGATTTCCCTGATTTTTCTATAGGGTTTATCCTTGGTTGAATACGAACACTAATACCAAGTTTCGTCAAAATCTGTCAAGAATTATGCCTTCTAGAGTGTTTACGAGCTAAAAATTGAACGGTTTGCAAGAACAAGGGCAATAATTCATACTAAATATTTTTCAATTTCGCTGATTTTCAATAGGGTTTATCCTTGGGTGATTACAAACACTCATACGAAGTTTCGTTAAAATCCATCAAGAATTGTGCCCTGTAGAGTGATTACGAGCTAAAAATTGAACGTGTTTTCAAGAACAAGGGCAATAATTCATACTAAATATTTTTTGATTTCGCTGATTTTCAATAGGGTTTATCCTTGGGTGATTACGAACACTCATAACAAGTTCCATTAAAACCCTTCAAGAATTGTGCCTTCTAGAGTGTTTACGAGCTAAAAATTGAACACGTTTTCAATGACAAGGGCAATAATTCATACTAAATATTTTTTGATTTCGCTGATTTTCAATAGGGTTTATCCTTGGGTGATTACGAACACTCATACCAAGTTTCGTTAAAATCCTTCAAGAATTGTGCCTTCTAGAGTGTTTATGGGCTAAAAATTGAATGCGTTTTCAAGAACAAGGGCAATAATTCATACTAAATATTTTTCGATTTCGCTGATTTTCAATAGGGTTTCTCCTTGGGTGATTACGAACATTCATACCGAGTTTCGTTAAAATCCTTCAAGAATTGTGCCTTCTAGAGTGTTTACGAGCTAAAAATTGAACGCGTTTTCAAGAACAAGGGCAATAATTCATACTTAATATTTTTCGATTTCGCTGATTTTCAATAGGGTCTATCCTTGGGTGATAATGAACACTCATACCAAGTTTCGTCAAAATCTGTCAAGAATTGTGCCTTCTAGAGTGTTTATGAGCTAAAAATTGAACGCGTTTGCAAGAACAAGGGCAATAATTCATACTAAATATTTTTCGATTTCGCTGATTTTCAATAGGGTTTATCCTTGGGTGATTACGAACACTCATACCAAGTTTCGTTAAAATCCTTCAAGAATTATGCCTTCTAGAGTGTTTACGAGCTAAAAATTGAACGCGTTTTCAAGAACAAGGGCAATAATTCATACTTAATATTTTTTGATTTTGCTGATTTTCAATAGGGTCTATCCTTGGGTGATAACGAACACCCATACCAAGTTTCGTTAAAATCCTCAAGAATT